TCCTATATAAAGTCAACGGATATATCCTTCCTATATAAAGTCATCATTTGATATTTTCCTTCCGTATAAAGTCAACATAGGATATATACCACCTATATTAAGTCAACACAGGATATATACCTCCTGTATAAAGTCAACACAGGATATACACTTCCTGTAAAAAGTCAACACAGGATATACACCTCCTGTTTATAGTCAACACAGGATATATCCCTCCTGTATAAAGTCAACATAGGATATATATCTCCTGTATAAAGTCAACATAGGATATATACCACCTATATAAAGTCAACACAGGATATATCCTTCCTATATAAAGTCATCATTTGATATTTTCCTTCCGTATAAAGTCAACATAGGATATATACCTCATATATAAAGTCAACACATGATATATAGCTCCTATATAAAGTCAACGGATATATCCTTCCTATATAAAGTCATCATTTGATATTTTCCTTCCGTATAAAGTCAACATAGGATATATACCACCTATATTAAGTCAACACAGGATATATATCTCCTTTATAAAGTCAACACATGATATATACCTCCTATATAAAGTCAACACAGGATATAAATCTCCTGTATAAAGTCAACACAGGATATAAACCTCCTATATAAAGTCAACACAGGATATATAGCTCCAATATAAAGTCAACAAAGGATATATACCTCCTGTATAAAGTCAACATAGGATATATATCTCCTGTATAAAGTCAACACATGATATATACCTCCAATATAAAGTCAACACAGGATAAATACCTCCTTTATAAAGTCAACACAGGATATATCCTTCCTATATAAAGTCATCATTTGATATTTTCCTTCCGTATAAAGTCAACATAGGATATATACCACCTATATAAAGTCAACACAGGATATATCCCTCCTTTAAAAAGTCAACACAGGATATATATCTCTTATTTAAAGTCAACGCATGATATATAGCTCCTATATAAAGTCAACGGATATATCCTTCCTATATAAAGTCATCATTTGATATTTTCCTTCCGTATAAAGTCAACATAGGATATATACCACCTATATTAAGTCAACACAGGATATATACCTCCTGTATAAAGGCAACACAGGATATATACTTCCTGTACAAAGTAAACACAGGATATCTATCTCCTGAATAAAGTCAACACTTGATATATAGCTCCTATATAAAGTCAACGGATATATCCTTCCTATATAAAGTCATCATTTGATATTTTCCTTCCGTATAAAGTCAACATAGGATATATACCTCCAATATAAAGTCAACACAGGATAAATACCTCCTTTATAAAGTCAACACAGGATATATCCTTCCTATATAAAGTCATCATTTGATATTTTCCTTCCGTATAAAGTCAACATAGGATATATACCTCCTATATAAAGTCAACATAGGATATATACCTCCAATATAAAGTCAACACAGGATAAATACCTCCTTTATAAAGTCAACACAGGATATATATCTCTTATTTAAAGTCAACGCATGATATATAGCTCCTATATAAAGTCAACACATGATATATACCTCCTGTATAAAGTCCACACGGGATATATACCTCCTATATAAAGTCAACAAAGGATATATATCTCCTGTATAAAGTCAACACATGATATATCCCTCCTGTATAAAGTCCACACGGGATATATACCTCCTATATTAAGTCAACACAGGATATATAGCTCCAATATAAAGTCAACATAGGATATATATCTCCTGTATAAAGTCAACACATGATATATACCTCCTATATAAAGTCAACACAGGATATATATCTCCTGTATAAAGTCAACATAGGATATATACCACCTATATAAAGTCAACACAGGATATATACCTCCTTTAAAAAGTCAACACAGGATATATATCTCCTATTTAAAGTCAACGCATGATATATAGCTCCTATATAAAGTCAACACAGGATATATATCTCCTGTATAAAGTCAACACAGGATATATACCTCCTTTATTAAGTCCACACAGGATATATATCTCCTGTATAAAGTCAACACAGGATATATACCGCCTATATAAAGTCAACACATGATATATAGCTCCTATATAAAGTCAACACAGGATATATCCCTCCTGTATAAAGTCAACACAGGATATATACCTCCTATATAAAGTCAACACAGGATATATAGCTCCAATATAAAGTCAACACAGGGCATTTACCTTCTGTATAAAGTCAACACAGGATATATATCTCCTGGATAAAGTCAACACAGGATATATACCTCCTTTATTAAGTCAACACAGGATATATATCTCCTGTATAAAGTCAACACAGGATATATTCCTCCTTTATTAAGTCCACACAGGATATATATTTCCGGTATAAAGTCAACACAGGATATATACCTCCTATATAAAGTCAACACAGGATATATAGCTCCAATATAAAGTCAACACAGGGCATTTACCTTCTGTATAGTCAACATAGGATATATGCTATATATAATCGACTTGTCGTTTGATTTAGATCGCTTTATATCATCAACACAGTTACGGATAAACTAGAATGCGTCTTATTTACTTCACCGTTGTTTTGGACTAGGTCTTATCACGAGAGGAATGTAAATCGATATAAGGTATAAGATGTGTACATGTACAGTTTTCAAAAAATACATATACATTTAGATATAAGATGTGCACATGTATACATTTTTTAAATGTACATTTTCAAGTCATATACATATCAGATATAAGACGTAAATGTATAAGTCATATAAATATTTGACATCACTAGTTTAGAGTTATTTTTTTCAAATGTGGTTATTTATCTCAGCATCCCCACAGAGTATTTTGTAGCTCAGACAGCGGTGCTATGCAACATTGCGACAAAACGTATTGAATAACACGCAGTGACTTGAAGGGTTTGGAGGACGCATCATAACGCATCGTTAGATTACAAAAGCCATGAACAGTGGACATTTTACATTGTAAACTGTGTTAAACAGTTACAAAATAAACATAAATCAACCATACCACCATCCCTGAGATTGTCAGAGACCTCCTCTTCAACAAGTTCAAAGTTAGACGTTTGAACTTTGCCATCAAACTCCGTTTTAAGGGTCCACACTTTGCTTTTTACCATTGTGTTTTATGAATCGTAGTGAGAGGGCGTAGAATATAATAAACGATTGACCCGTATTGTAGGTGACGCACGTGACATCATGACATGTCGTGGTTATCTCCTTTACATATGAATATATCCTCGTGATAGAATGTACCTCACAACGCTCTTCGACCGTCTAAGACCACATTTATTCAAACCGTCGCAGCTAACGAAAAGTCAGAATGGCACACATAATGTCTTATCTTTCTCCTACCATGTCAGCCACTAAATAAATAATAACAAAACAAAAATACTAGAAAACTTTGTGGAAAACCCGTCTTTTAAAACCATTTTCTTCTGCTGATCCATGTGTTGGATCGTCCAGCATATTCATGTACGAGGAAATTAAGGTCAGCTGAGCACTCATACTCAATGCGGTAATATGTTCCTTGCTGTATCACCTACGTTTAACAAACTCTCTTATTGTGTAAAGATGCATGTAGCACAACCAATAAGTGGTTATATGTGACACTTCGATGACTAGAAATGTATGTACTCTGTCACCTTCATAAGATAAAAGACCAGCGAAGCGTATATACACAAAGGTGTAGTATATGTACGAGTTGTTCACACAAATTTATGTCGATTCGGCAACGCTGTAAGCGTATGTACAATTCGTAGTTATATATGTACCTAAATGACTCGATTCAGCTCTGCTTTGATTGATACTTAGTCATAGATGTGCGAGAGTCTATGAGCCCCCTCGTCTCGATTTAGAACTGGCCCACTGCGGTTACCTTTATCTGCCGCTCACTCTTTGGAGTTATCCCTGTCAACCGCATGGTTTTTCTGTGTGGCATGCGTTTTGTTATGGACAACTCGGAGGCTGTTTACTCTAGCTCTACAAGTCTTAATCTGCCTTAATATGTAACGTATTGTTCTATTTACATTTACACAGTTGCTATCATCATAAACATGATACGAGGGTCATAGTGTAACGCCTCTGTAATTAATCTATCAGGCGGTTCCTCGCTGGGCCTAATTGGATAGATAAAGGATCACACATTTAATATGTTTATGTGTCACTTATTGATAACACTGTAGCATGGTCTGTGATTGCCGATTTATTGATCTAGGACTCCGACCTTTTCCTTTCTGATTAGGTGAATTTCTTACCCTCTTGGGTTTCCGAATCTTTCCGGTGTCCACCACATATAAACACTTAATGGTTGTGCTACATGAATCTTTTCTCAATCCAAACTTACATACATGAAGAAAATATTTAGAAATATCTTTACTCGTGTGTCTTTTGTAGACGGAGTGTTGGGTACTAAAACGGGATCTAGTGCCTAGTTATATACAGATATATGGTCCGTTGGTCATTTTTATACCAAAGATTGTTCAGAGCGTAACTCCTTTATCATCACATTTACACCTACCAAACGTGTTATATTTATATATCTTTTGAAGACGGAGAGTCACTGTTGCTGCTTGTTTGGTTTATTTTGTCGGTGGAGAGGCGTGCGTACCTTTATTAAAGCTATTCCGTCTTTTCGTATCGCAGAATTATCTGCTCTTGTGAGAACGTATTAATTGTTACGTTATTAGTTTGTGTAAGAGAATTTCGTCGTTATCTCAAAGATTTATGACGTTACTCTCAAAAACAAATGACGTAACAATCATTACCTGCTCACAAGAGCAGATAACTCTGCAATACGAAAAGACGGAATAGTCATTATGCAAAACATTTAATGAAAAGTTACAATTGTTAGCATTGGTACAGGGATTCATGCACATGCTATTTTCGGCAGCTGTTTATTCTCTGCTATATAATATTAGGCGTGTAGATATGTACATTTCTAAGTTAAACCGGAACCCAAAGTGCAATAGCCATTACTGCAATATTGAACAGCATAATCGAGTCACATCATCAAATTAATACTGGTCAATTTATTTGAACAACATATTGATTATGCAACAGCATCCGTGTATGTTTTCTTTGTCTATCGCAATTGTAATTTAACTTCTATTCATATTCATTTAACATGTTATTATTTCGACAGAGATAATGCTAAAATGACACATGTCTATGGCATATACAATGTCTATAATTGAAAAGTAACAGACATATGCTGCGAATTCTGATTCTGATAGAAATCAGTTACTTCAAACCATCACTTAAATGTTTTTCTTTGTTGTGCGATCATGTATATGGTTTAATTACGTTATAGTGTAGCTCTGGACAGTAGAAACGTCCGATTATGCAGAGATTATCGCTTTTCCAGTGTTGGCACCATCGAACAGTCCCACGAAGGCCTTAGGCATATTCTCAAATCCCTTATATACTGTTTCTTTGTACTTGATTTTTCCCTGCAGAAAAAAAACAACATTTTATTATTATTTGTTAATACAGATTCGATTTTTCTGTGAACAAACTAAAGTAACTAGAAGTAAGGTTCTATAGTTATGCAAAAGGACTGTTACTCCCTTAGCAGATAACATGAACTTGACGTCAGATATTGCTCATTTGAATGTTTCTCTCCCCGTAAACAACATGAAATGTATCATTAGTTTAATATTTCTTTCCAGAGGCTTTCTCTTTCTTTTAAGATAATACGCTATTAAATGTCTGGCAGATTTCAGGAGTCTGTCTCTCCTCTATCAAACAACACATTATTAACGTTAGTGAGATATAAGTCAATCATGAAAAGCGATTTAACATTTATATCCCCTGTTGTTCGTTCCTCTCCTAACAATTGCGGTGCACTAAGTTCATCAATATTACGATATAACATATCCGGTTTGTTGTGAATATTTAATTTCTGATTACTAAAATTAGCATTGTGTCCACTTTTACAATGTGTTACACAGTAATACAGTGACCGTTAAACTGTCAGAATTGGGGCATGGCTTCCAAGTAACAGAAGAGGTAGTTGACATTTTGATGAGTGCCTGGGTTTTCCTGGCCCGTGCCTGACACAGAAAACACAACTGGACGTCAAGTATTTGTTCATTCTATGTACATCGGTCTTAACCTCTCTTCACCAGGATTTCACACCTAGTCAGGTTACGTCAGTGCCCCAGGGTAAGGTAAGCTATGGTCAACGTGCATGTACACGCAGTTATGTTTACCAGTATCTAGGACCATAACCATAACATATGTGTGGCAATTTTACACGTGCCGATTTTAGTTGTTTAGTTGTTAAAAAATTATGAACGCACTATTTTTATATTTAAGGAAAAACAGATTTTTGTTTACCTCACCAATGTAACTAAAATATAATATCATACTAAATCAATCTACTAGGAGGCACGGTAGTCTAGTGGTAGGACGCCGGGCTCGTGACCAAAAGGTTACGGGTTCGAGTCACGGCACGGCACGGCACTGTGTGTTGTATCTTTGAGCAAGATACTTTACTCCGCTTGTTCCAGTCTACTCAGCTGTAAATGAGTACGTGGTTGGGCAGTGCTAGAACTGTAGAATGCTAGCTGTGAGTGCCGCAATGAAAGCACCGGCTGTATGCTCCCCAGGGAGTTGAGAAAGATATTGGCTGGTTGCATAGGACAAATAACCACGGATAATAGTTTGTGAACCGCTTTGCGACGACCTACGAACGAGGTTGTGATAAAGCGGTATATAAGAACCTCGAATTATTAATATTATTTTTATTATTATTATATAGGTTTTAAAGACGAAATTGCATATATTGGTAAGACATTCCCCTATAAAAAAAACACGATTGTTATCTCACAACGCTCGTCCATCATGGACACAAGCTATCATCGTCCAGAATATTATCGTTCGCACATCGTGCATAACACCGCTATTCGTGTAACGTTGTGCGAATCCACAAATGAATAGCGATAACAATGAGGTGTGTCTCTCATCTATCAGACATCAACTATTAGACTCACCTCTCTGATCCACTGTGCCATTGCCTTTTCTCCCTCCGCCCATCTTTGATACCACCGCATCACGATAAATCCCTCAATTTTAAGCTGTTTGCCAAGGATAAACATGAAAGGGTATTCACCTAGAAAGCGTCAATACAAACATAAAATAATCTGAAATATATATTTGTATAGTTAAAACAGGATAAGATGATACACCGGCTTTGCATATTGATTTAATATTACATGACAACCATGTTTAAACACATATCACAGAACTAAGACCTAGGCTACTGATGTAACAGTTACAATTCAGGAATATTACATGACAACCATGTTTAAACATATAACACAGAACTAAGACCTAGGCTACTAATGTAACAGTTACAATCCAGCGGAAGTCGCCTTTGTAGCTGTTTTCTTTCGGATCGGACAATTCTCACTTGTTTAAAAAGGATAATCATTTGGCATACAATAATTATATACAAATTACCGCTTCGTGAACCAAACAAGCATTTAAAAAAACCTGAGATAAATTATGCATCGAACAAACGAGACTGCGTAAATGAAGGTGACCTGGTCAACTGAGCAAACAAATATCCCCTATACCTTTTGGAGGCGCTTTGTCGTTGTACGAGGATATCTGTCCACAGATGGAAACTCGGCCGAACTGCTTCATGTGTTTCAGTGCTGTAGCAGTGAAGTCTGCTCCTATCTACAAAACAATTAAAACAAGGAAATATCACAACATACTCCAGTGTGACGGTAAAATCTGCTGAAAGTTACAATACAATATTAGCAAATGCGTGTACTCCGAATTCCTCCAATATTTAAAACCCTTAATGTGCTTTAAACCGTGCCAACAAGCGTGATTAATTCAAGTTATTTTTTTCTCATATTTTTGTAGTATAAATATTTTTTACAACATAAGCAACAATAATGACGTAAGTGTATCACAAATCTAACAACAGTGAAATCAGACTTTGCACGCATTTGCGACATTATTTCACAACAATGAATTGAGACGAGGCACTATCCAACATGTTTATTGTCATTATTGACTTCGCTAGTTTAATCTATATGCTGAATCAAGTGGGAAAACCCATATAAAATAGTGTAATTGGAATGAAAACAGATAGTTTACCCATTTTCAATAAATACAACTTTATGTATTAGTAACCATGGATACCGGGTGCTGAACTGAGTGAAACAGACTGAAATCTAGCCTGAATGCATCAGGATATAGCCTGTGAATTATTTGTTGTTTGGTATCAACTTTACCAATTACACATTTGACACATTTGTGATGAATTGTGAGGGCCTGTGAAAAGGGCGAGTAACCCCCCTTTATACATCCCACAGGTAATCAGAGGTAATAGGCTATTGACCTATAAATTTACCTATATATGAAACTGTTTAAACGTTTTTGTGTAATTTTAAGCAATAATGAATGAAAGTGAAGCTGAATCAAGCATAAAAATGCTTTTTTCCAGAAAAAGTTGATTTCTATGTGTATCAGTTAGCAGAGTACAGTAGAAATGGCCTGATCCTAAAAATAAAGGGCATGTCTCAGATAAAAAAGGATAGTGGATTCATCCTGCACAACACACCTTCATATATATATATCTATAGACTACATTTTGAATACATTCTTTTTTAGAAGAATGATTTTTTTTTCAAAAAGTGTTCAAAGATGCAGACACTGCTAGACATTATTTTTCTTAAAGTTTCCTGAAGTAAAAAATATCTTTGAAATTATGTTATTTTTTAAAGTTCGGCACCATTTCTTCCCGCCTCCAAGCGTTAAGCCGGCAATTTGAACAGTGTGTTATTTAAATACACGAACGTCAAGATACAATTATTGAAGTCAACATGTTCTTTGTGATTAAACTCGAACGCTTTCATGTTTAATCTATTGCTTACTCACATTGTCGAAAAAACAATCGAAACCATCTGGGGCGGCCGCTTTTAAAGCCTCGGATAGATCAACCTTCTTGTAGTTGAAGACCTCATCAAAACCTAATTCCTTCAACCATTTGCATTTGTCGTCAGTTCCGGCACATCCCACTACTTTGCAACCCTGTTGAACAAAAAGCACATTTTAGATAATAAAGTAAGATCGGACTACCTTGCACTCCCGTTAAACATATACTAGTATTTCAGACAACTGCGTTGTACTTTGCCGCCTTACACCCGAGCTTCACTTTTTTCTAATCATCTTTAAAGCGAGCTTTATAGCGAGTTAGGTAGTGTTTACAATTTTCCAAATAGATGTTGCAGAAATTTGCTGACATCATAAATGTCATGAATTATCATGTAGATAGGCTTCCTGCTGCATAATAAAGAGTTCAAGGATTCGAATTCCGGTGGAGAAGTTTTTGTGTAGTAGGAAATTATCATAAATATCCTCTTTCGTATTTAACATCTTGGCTATGGTAACGGGAGAAGCAATCACAAATCAGAAAAAATGTCAAATACATTGTAACTCTTCTTTGTAGATGAGACAATGGTGTTTGATGGGACTCTCTACCTTAAACAAAACATATATTAGTTGCAGCATCTCAACATTGCATCCCTGTTAAAGAAGCTTTATTTTCAAACAGTTCCGCCAACTCAACCAAACGTCATGCACCTAAAGGTTTCACCATCTTGTTCAAAAAATACATTTCAGACAGTGTACTAACATCCTACTACCTTATGTCCCTGTTAAACATTACAGCGCTTTTAAACAAGAAACAAAATACAGACAAGTAGGAAGCATATTTATCATTGTTCGGTTATAGCCCGTTATAAAAGTTGAACATGTATGTTAAAAAAAGAATAACCTGCCTTTATTTTGGCGATTTGTCCGACAAGACTACCGACTGCCCCGGCAGCACCATTGACAAGCACAACGTCTCCTTCTTTTGGCTGGCAAAGCTCCAGAAAACCAAAATAAGCTGTCATTCTGTAGAAAAAACATATCCTGTTAATTTTCGCTTTTGAATCATACAACATGTAAAACCATTATCCCAGCTTCCTGAGCCCTGATGTATAAAATCGGTATAACAGAAATACATGTGTTTTGGAAACGAACAAATGCCAAGACAAAAAAAAGCAAAAAGTGTTATCGTAAAGGCTGAAACAGCACTGCACCAATCACTGGACAATGAGCATGACATATAACAAGAAATAAAACAAGGTATTCCTATCGACATGAATATTTGTTGATACCATGTCGAAAACAGTTTCGCCATGTTTAAATAATAAGTAAGCATATTTGTTATTTAATGTTCCGCGGTGGATAAAACAACTGCTCTATAGAAACGTTTATAAATGTATATTCACCAAACACAGATATGTTAATACTATTTTCAGCTGAGATAACCTTATCATAAATTTTCGCAACTGTTGAATAGCACTTGGTATCAATTTGTTCATTTCAGTGTTATTTTATCAATTTGTCATAAGTGATGTTGCGAGGAATTAATTTGATTACAAGTCAATGCAAGGTTAGTCGAGTTTCTTCGTTGAAACCACATTCACTAACCAAGAGCAGACCATTACACTAAAACAATCCCACAAAGTGTTCATGCTGACGTCTTCCGACTGTATATTCCCCTACCTTGCTAACAGCCCTGTCCCTCTAAATTTGAGAGAAGACGGGAAATAATGATAATGTGAAATGGTGATATGTTTGAGTTTTCAGTCTTCACGGGGTAACAGAAGAATTAGGTTTATGTTTTTGACAAGTCACTAGTATAAAACTGCTGCGATAACTCACGAACATCTGTTGGGTCACCATAGAGACTGCATACTTATATTTTTTATAGCTAGAGTCTCATTTGTTAGGTATTCTACACCCTTTTCCTTGACATAAGGGTAGTCTGCAAGAGGCGGTTTTAACCTTTCTATTTTGCTAAGTTTATAACGCAGCATGACTATTTGTGAGTACAGTTACATGTACGTACTTACCCTGGCATTCCCATAACACCGAGGGTCAAAGATAAAGGGAGGTCACCAAGTTCCGGCATGCGTCCCACTTTCTGTTCCACGTCGTTGTAAATAAGTGTATGGGTACGCCATCCTGCGAACACCCGAACGAGACTTCCCACCGGATGGGAGGAATTTTTACTGGCGATCACCCTGAAAGTAAGCACCACGAGTATGACACATGATTTATTTTGATATGCTTGTGTTAGATAAACATAGGTTATTATTAATGAGGACCATGTATATGTAATACACAAATAAGCATAAAACTTTTTTTTCCATTCGCAGTTTGAAAAAATTACATTATCAATATATAATTTAATATAAAAGATATTGTATCGCATAAAACAATGAAGAGTAGGCCCGGGATATTAAAAAAGGATATAGTAATGTAAAATTAGGATGAGCGTTAAATACACTAATGCAGAATGAGCTTAACATAATTTATATATCTATGCAGAATGGGAAAAATGAGGTTTAACAATTCGGAATTAGCTTAACACGAAATTAATTAGATGTAATCGCTGAACTATCAATAGTCGAATACAATCAACAATCAATAACACATCCTGCCTATCATACTTAGTAATCTTCCAAATTCATCACAAAAGATGAAAAGCAACATTTATTTTGATATTTTAATGGTAGATAACGTCATCAAGGTGATAAACATTTCTTCAATAAAAGGACTACCGGGCATCAAGAAAAATCCTCTGACTTAACAACATATGTAAGGTTTGGGATCTTACTTGGCGATCTGTTCCCCCGCCATGCATTGTCCCGGCTTAACTCGCCCCAATTCGCTTGTCCTGTGAAAAGGATGATAGGGTCGAAAGTTAACAAAACATTTAACCGAGAGGTTTGCTTGCATTTTTAAATCGCGTAACGATGTTATAGATTAAAAGCAAAATGTTTCATATATTACACGATTCATTATATTTACGGTGTACTTCCATTTCACCAATGTTCCTTATAGAATATTGTCATATGAAATTATGAGTGCATTGCTTAATAAAGGGAAAATTCCCTAAATCTAGGTTTTTCTTTAGCTGTAAGGAAAATCTTAAGCTAAGAAATATCTTTTGCTAAGAAATATCTTTTTAAGATCATAATAAGTTCTTTTGAGAATTATCTTGTCAAGGTACAATTTGTCGTTAATTTGTTAATGTCTATAATCAATCGATGTATGCAAAAAACATTTAAATATAGTTATAGCAAATTGATAAAAATGAAAAAACGGCGTTGCGGTTCCTTCAATTTTTTGACAAACATCATAATTAAGTAAGATATACCTCATGTACGGATCAACAGTCCAGTGAAGGGCTTCGATCAGATATGCTGGAACAGTAAATGAACCAACGTTATTGTTATATACGTAAAATCCTAAAATCATCCTATTGCAATGAAATATTATATTTCAATGTAAGAAATAAATGTCGATGTATTTGATTATGTTCATTTATATGCTTGGTGTTTTTTTGTAAATATCCGGTCTTTCACTTTGAGGACATGAAATTACTTGACCTTGATTTACCTGGTGTACTGGCGTAGAAGACGCCTGACATTCCGGAATAACCGGTCTTATTTGCCTAGTACATTTCATTCGTCTCCAGAAGAATCTTTCCTTTGCTCATACTTGTGCATATCGGTTTTCTCATTGTTTTATCTACCGACTGGGATAAAAAAGCGAAACAGCCAGAAAGACGATTAGGACCAACTGAAAGGGTCGGAGGCCATAGACAGGAATGAGCTTTTGAATCACAGTAGGAAGAAAAGTGAACAATCAGAACGCGCGTCACTGGTATCAACATTCTATCACCTACTTTTTGATACCTAAAGTATTTTATTTGAACGTTTGTGTACGATCTACAACATTGAGGTGTGTACTCTTTGTCATCGTATAGGAGAGACCAGGGTCCATATTCATGAAACCATTATCATGCTCAAGTGATCATAATTTGTCAATCAATACGAAGAATCTTGGAGAGCCTTAAAGCCGAATATTGTTTTCAATGTTAACACTTGACTTTTTGACTGTGTTTCATGATTTAAGCGAGTTACATGAAGCCCTATTCTTAAACACAGAATTCATGCTTGAAGGTTTCATGAATACGGGCCCGGATCAAGACTGACTGTGCCTTCAATACCCTATATCAATGAAACTAGAGAATATCAGAGTGTCAGGAAACCAATGATTCGAACTCAGAATCGATAGAACCGGGACAAAATAAAAACAAATGAGCAAATAACATAGAGACCATGGAAAAACGTACGGGGGAATAAGAACATGTGCCCCTATAGGCTGAGCGTGGTGTTCAGATTCATTGACGACACCCGCTATGTAAATATAGGACAAATACTACATGTAGTAATTTCACGTCTCATAGCGAGAACCGGGATATGACAACAAAACAGTGATCTCTCATTAGCATTATCAAAGTGTATACCGCTATGCTAGAAGATTCATAAAGGTTCAGTGCATGACACATTGACAAAGATTCTTCATATTATCCAACACCTGATTCCATGTGTTCTTCACGTTACAAGTCTATCTAGTTTACTGCCCTTTGTGTAGTAAATGCGACACCAGTGTCTATGTAGGAGAGACAGAAAGATGCGTGAGAGAGATTCGGCAAACACCTGAGAGATGCAAGAATGAAAACGGGAAAGCAAATAACCTCTTCGGAGTCAAGAGTTTCACCATGAAATTGTTAAGGGAAGAATTTTGATTGTACCTTCAACTCCAAGAGTGGAAAAAGATAGAAAAAAATAGCTATGCAATGCTAAGATAATCCTTCCGCAGTATTTCTCATCGCTCTGTATGGTAGAATGACATTACAAGGATTGATGACGCGTCGCAAGGACCACAGACATCTGTATATTTGAACTAGAAAACAGGACAAAACCAGAAATATTTCTATATCTCATGAAAATGGCTCGAATGCCTTAATTTGAAGTTTAAAACGTTATTTTTTATTTCTTAGTTATTTAGTTTCGTGTGCGTTTTGCATATAAGCCCGTTCAGAATCCAAATCAAAAATACAATCATGATACCATAATCCAAAAGGGAATTGGATTTCATTGAATCTTAAAATATGTCATTATAGTGTTCCCTATTGGAGTTTGCACCGATCCGTTGTCGGCAGACTTGTACGTTATAATTCGCTTTATCACAACCTAGTTCATAGGTCGGTTCAAGCGGTTCACCAATTATTATTCGTGATTATGGGGCCTTTGCAACCAGCCACTATCATGCTGCTGCCATTTTGGGGCTGACCGCTAGCATTCCACAATTCCAGTATTACTCAACTACGTACTCATTTACAGCTGAGTAGACTGCAAACAAGTTTTCGGTCACGAGCCGAGCGTCTTACCACTGGACTGCCGTGCCTCCAAGTTATCGAGTTTATTTGGCTAGGTTACACTGAATTCTTTTGACTAACCATTGCAATGATGGTTTTTTTCGTTTATTGGTTTCATTGGTAGTAAAAATGTCAGAACCTGCTGTAGTTAAATTGCCCATACACATTTATAGACGTTACAACAAGAGAGCTCAACCCAGAGTAATATATCGATGGTAAACTAGAATTGAAACTCAGGTAGGCTTGGGACTGTCACATTGTGTGTATAGCCTAACCTTGGTATCGACCCATCGTTTGCATACTAAGGGGTACATTAGGGTGAAGAGCTAAACACTTACACAGTGAAATGTCATTTACAAATGTTTATAAACTTTAGATGAGTATAATACAAACAATAGTTTAGTTTTAGTGTGCTATACATTTCACCTGTGGTCATTCATCACAATGCACCCAATGCCATGGTAAAGTGTAGCTCAGACATTGATCTGTTGTACACAGCATTACGACACATGTGAAATAAAAGGTACCTTCTATAAAATTAATATCCCATTTAAGTATCAACATTTTTGAAGTAATGCGCTGATTTTTGTAGTGGTGAGAGTAATATCATAAAAACCAAATATATTGAATATCATATAGTGACTTAAGGTATGTGGAAGACATCACATACTACAACATTTGGAAAGTGAACAAGTACAATGTAAATTGTGTTAAACACTTAGAAAATGCAAATAATTCAACCATACCATCATCTTTAAGGTTGTCTGAGACCTCCTCCTCAATAAGTTCAAAGTTGGACGTTTGCACTTTGCCATCAAACGCCGTTTTAACGGTCCAAACTTTGCTTTTCACCATTTTGTTGACGGAGCGATGCTGCTTGTGTCTCACCTTTAGACTGTGCTAGTAAAACGACGCGTGTTGTGGGTGGTGACGGTCTTTATATGTAACGTTGAAGCCTACCTTCCCCCGAGCTAAAGGTATGTCTGTTATCTTATTATAGTGATACATAAGGGTATACAAGTACTTAGATATAAAATAGGAGGTCCTGTAGAATATAGATTAATACCTGTTATACATGTATGTATCAATATATTTTATCACGGTTATAAAGCTTTTAATAAGTATATATGTATAGTGCATGGTACATGGAACATACGTGTTTTTCTCATAAAAATAACTACGATATAATTGAGCCTTTTTGAATGTATAATAGGAAGATTGATAGAAGTATGATACATATATCATCACTTTGTTTGTATAGCAGGTTGCATATTTTGCTGTTAATCAACACCGTTACGGTGTCTATTTTGTTGTATGTGTGTTTACCTTATTATATATACAGTATGTCTATCCTTCCCAAGGGTTATACACTGTATTACACATATAACAGCTTTGGATAAGTGATGTGGTGGTCGGGTGGCGCAGTGAAGAACGCACTCGTCTTTCACCAAGTCGGCCGGAGTTCTATTCCTCAATCGGACGTGAAAAGCTATTTTTTTACATGGGTTTTATCCAGGTATTACGGTTTTAGATGCAATGGTGCAATGTCAGTCGATACATGATTGTACGACGTAACCGAATGACACAATCCAATCATTTTCAAAGTAGCTTATTCAAACGGCATATTGATTTTGCAACATCATTTCTCCCATAGCCACCGTGGGTTTCGTTATTCTCGGCTCATCTGATAAACCTGCTGGTATTGGATTAACATTTTTGGGTACCCTCCTTCGACGTTATTTCACTAGTCACGTAATATTGCTTTGCGACAACATCTTCCACTGTGACGTCATAGTTAATGGCAAATTCCATCGATCGAAAAGGAAATTTTGTATTACCGAGGGAAACATATGGTTTTCTAGATAAAATGACCAAACGCTCTGGGGAAAAAAGGATTCCAACACTCGGTACATATCGTGTATATATTGTCTGCGATTATCACAACTGTAATTATGTTATACTAAAGGTTGAAATATTACATTATCTTTTATATGATTCAGTCATTTACGATAAAAAAAAATGTAGATATGTCGACAGAAACAGTAATGATTCATTTCAACAAATTTTATTTAAACAATGTGTTATACAAATAAATGTGTATGACGTAAAACAACAAGGTTTTCAAGGACAATTTATTTGTTATTCATTAACAGTTACATTCCATTTTCCACGTTATGTAATCAATAAGTTCCGCTCAGGAGTGACGTAAACACAGCAGGGGTCAATACTGAGTTCACAAAGTTAATACCTCGTATGTCCACCGTTTGCCTGAATGCAAGCCTGACAACGTCGACGCATGGAGCCTATAAGACGGTTCAAGAATGCTTGTGGGATGGCATTCCAGATCTGTATCAACGCTTCAGCTAAATCAGCCAACGTCACCGGTTGATTAGGTAATGCCCGTAATCTGCGTTCATTACATCCCAGACGTGTTCAATGGGCGACAGATCGGGGGATACAGCAGGCCACGGCAACACGTCAACGTTCTGCTGGGCCAGAAGGTCCATAGCGACACGAGCTGTGTGTGGCCTGGCGTTGTCCTGCTGTAGCGTAACGAACGAGGTGGGTCCGGAGGATCTCTTCACGGTAGCGTAGCGCGTTCAAATTCCCGTTAACAACCACTTATTGGTAGCAACCCAGGGATTGTCCTTGCAGTCAAACTTGCCGTTTGGAAGCGATTTCTCAAATGGACAAGCCAAATATGGTTGTTCTGTTGACGTGACGTCCCACGTGGACGTCCCGCACGAGGTCGATCGCCGACGTGGCCAAACTGTTGATGTCATCTCCACAAATCCCGGATTGTGTTTCGATGGACATGAAAACGTGTAGAGACAACGGCTTTGCCCATACCAGCTTGAAGCATACCAATAATCCGGAGGCGGTCATTTTCATTGAGCCTCGGCATAGCATTAATCACAAATTAAAACGTTATAATGCTGTTTTTACTGTTCACTGGTTTCAACAGAGTGACCCAACAGTTGAAAAATACTCTTTCATTGTCGAATCGGATGGGTGGACGACAAAAACGTGCAAACTGGTCAACGCCTATAGAGAGCAAACTGCACGGGAAAAACTGTCAATGACACACGGATAGTGTGCATGTGTCATACTCGGTCATGTGTGTGAATTTTCATGTATATACAGTTGGTAATACATGCTCTATAACAATTCTCCGCATGCACAGTTTCTTTTTTTCGCTAGTATATATGCAATTCAATGTATAAGATGTACACTGTAAAACAAGACAGATTGAACAAATCTTACAACAAACAAACATGCTCAACTAAAAACTCCTATGTCCGTAGAAGAATACCATTTATAGAAAAGTAGGTAAAATAGAAAAAGGATCTTTTCTAAATATCTTACTTATTTGTGCAGTATAATTGAAATAGCAATAGCAAAGTATAAAGTCACAGCTGGTTAGATCAATAGAGATTAAAACGCATGGATTTACCAATAAATAACTGTACATCATTAAGTAACTTTGGAAAAATGTTTGTATCAATATGGTTATGATTTCCATAATTAAAAACAGAAATAAATAAAGTAAGTCTGATATCATTATACATTGGACATTCAAGAAAATAATGGAAAAATGTTTCATATTCAAAAGAACAAGCACAAGAGGGACAGTCAGTTAAATGGTCATTGCATAACTCAAAATTTAAGTTGCTACAGGAGTTTTTAAGCTGACAAAGAATAATATTAGCCCTTCTATCATCTTGAGTTTTTAAACTTAAGATTGATTAATTATCAATAATAATGATTTATTCAATTAGTGTTTAAAGTTTGGAAGAGTTGGATATTTTAAGAGATCATTATCAGTAGCGTTAGTTGTACGGGAGGAAACACAAACGATAAATCTGAGCCGCTTCTTCACGTCCATATTACTAACAATTTCATAATAAATAAACAGTAGTTGATTAACGGTAGAATCACATAGTATAAAGTCAGGCTGGTGCTTACTTAAGATAGAATTTTCAACAAGATAGTTAGTTGTAAAGGTATTTGAATACCATTTTTTCCATTATTTTACTGAATTATGAGGTTATTGAGATTGTTCTATTATTTATTGTATCATTTGATAAACCCTTCTCTTTATATATATAGCATTTATGTTTGATTGTTTTCAGCTATTCGGTAATATTTCTTATTCAATGTTTTAGTAAATAAAAGACAGAGGGGTAACGCGAATTTTCCATTATTTTTTAAATTTTAGGAATTACACCATCAGGGCCGGGAGATCACATGTTATTAAACGGAAGCGGGACCGACTTATCAATGTGCTTGAGACGCTTGAAAGCATAGGTCTTCGAGTAATACATATATAATACATCCAGCATTTTATAATACACTTGCAATGGTCATTAATATCAATCGAAAACATAAATATGCAGAATAGATAAAACATTAAAAATAATAATGTTTTGATAAGTAAAATAGACATACATATAGAGAAAATATAAGAGAAAACATGTGAAATATCTATGTTGAACTCCACTAGCCCCTGTGATCAACATATCGCCTACATTTATCTATACTAAACGAAAAACACAACAAGAATATCATTTGTAACCATTCACACTCACGAAATCGTCTTTTTACTGCGCGTGTAAAGAGACAACGTGCTGATGTTTTAAAATTAGTTCCAGCCGAACAACAATAGATAGAGCCACGTACAAAGTATCTGGATGTTTGTGCACGCGCAGGCGAAAATAAAGTATAGGAGAAAGAGGACGTGTAGTTGTTATAGATTATATATGGAAATTATAGGATTTTAATATTCACTTGAACGGTAAGTTCCAATTATATACGTGCATGTACATGTAAATGACTAAACTATACGAAGTATACGCGTACAATACACTATAATTCAATGCGACGCGAACATTTTGTAGGTCTTAGTGAGCACATAGTAGCTCATGTATGTAAACATAAAGTGGCAGTTGAGTTGAGATTGCATGCGCTCATAGAAAGTAAAACTGAAGTGATCAATTCAATTAAAAAGTAACCGGATAAATGAGTTTCTTTTTTTTCAATATTACAAACATGTAACTGTACATAGTGAAGTTTAGGAAGAGGAAATTAAATAAGATTAAGAATATCTTAGGCTAGACGTTCAAAATATTAGCGTTATGGTTGTTAAAATTTCACATACTCTTGCAGTTCACATTTCTATGATTTCATAGGATATAAATCCTATATTATCTTGGGTCTCACGTGTATAGTGAACTTTATATTCTTATTATATCGACATAAATTATAAAGGGTTATAGCATATATAGCAATATGTGTAAACACAAAGGGCATGTCATCCGAGAATGTCTATTTACATACAACAATAACACATATTACAGATAACTCATGATAATAATTTCATATAAAAAATTATATATAATAAACTAACTTTATACTGAATGTTCATACCATATAATGCCTGTGGTTGTTTCTTTTAGTTATATATGTACATTTAAATGCATACCGAGCATTTCTAAGCAGTACCATCATGAGAAAAACATAATACGATATTTTTGGTCACTGTTTAGATGCACTAGTATCATATTATTTACTTACATAATCATTTATATATATAATAATAATTATGATACCAATAATGAACCTCAGGTAATAAATCTATCAAAGAGAATTGTAAATGATGATGAGATAAGCATTTTAAAAAAGGGTATGAAATTTTGCCCTAATCCTAAACCAAACGAAAAAGATATCAAAACTGATATATTACCATTTTGCCGCGGATTAAGATTAAAACAGCGATATTTCGGAACATGAAATTGATAACAACATACATAAAGCTGAACGTTCAGTTCGAAATAAATCTAATTGGAAAAAAAGTGATAATGGTTTAAAGAAATATCCGTTAGTGTATAAACAAACCAAAAGTAATGTTTCACATAATCAGCGTAAAGCAAAAGATTCTTTATCGAACGATGAACTATTGTCATCAAAGATGCCTATAAAGGTGGTGCATTAGCATATGGACAGCGAGTTTTATTGTGAAAAGATTTCAGAAGTGATATCTTATCAAGAATGCTATTGTGAAAGTGAGGTAGGTACAAATAATGAAACATAGAAAACTATTGATATTCGTGTTCATCAACATCATAACAGTTTGTTTGATGAAAAAAAGGACTATCTAACAGATTTCGAAAGTAAGACTTCACAAAAGTTCTATCATAGCTATTGAACAACAGAAATATGATGTCATTATGTAGAATGTTCAAGCGATATGAAATTTAGACCAATTGTAGGTGGATCTCATGGTGTCACACAACGTTTAAGTCATTTTTTAGATTTTGTTATATAACCCGTTTGTCCATCAGTCAAAAGTTATATCAGGAATGACTTTGATTTCCTAACACATTTACCAACGTTGATCCTTCCGGGTTCCAAATTAGTATCGTTTGATGTTGTAAGTCTTTAAACAAACACCTCGCATGATTTAAGTATTGAAGCTATACAATATTGGCTACGTAAATGCCCTTCAAAAATTGACTTCGGATTTAATTAGGAATTTATTTTGAATTCTTTGGATATTGTACTCAAAAGAATTGTGTTTTATTTTAATGACAAGTATTATTACCAGACCAAAGGTACTGCTATGGGTACTAAGGTTGCGCCTACTTATGCTACACTGGTATTAGGATATTTAGAGGAAAAACTTTATGAGAACATGGTAATCAGTAAGGATGTTGATGTTTCGTATTTGTTTCTCTTAAACTAATTTTATGATATTTTTGGATGATTCTTCTATAATTTGGCCTCCTAATCATGATATAGATGAGTTTCATTCTGCATTTAATTCTTTATATCCGGATTTGAAATTCACTATTGAAAGAAGCGATAACGCTTTGCCATTTTTAGATGTTTTAGTTAAAGTTGAACACAATGAAATTTCTACAGACATTTATGCAAAACCTACCGATTCTCAAAATTACTTAGATTTGTTCTCTAATCATGCTAAACACACTAAGATCAACATACAATATAATTTAGCTTATAGATTAATTAATAAAGTAAGTGGTTCTGATAAATTGGAACACAGGTTACGGGAGCTCTTTTCTTTTCTGAAAACTCGTAATTATCCAGATTAATTTATATTACACGGCATTCAAAAGGCTAGGGACAATGGGCCTCTGCTCGTTCAACAAAGAAATAATGGTAAGTATGAAATGATACCGTTTGTTTTTACTTGCAACCCATGTAACTTTACCGTGTTTCCAATTATCAAAATCTATGAAAAATTTATGAAGACAGGTGGACGTATGGGGAGAATTCCTTGCAAAAAGAAAATCTTGGGAGATCAGCTTGTAACCCCCTAGGGGGTGATAGCCTCGTGCCAATTAGCACGTGTTCAATCGTAACGTCATTAAAATGCGTCACCGGTAACTGAGACGTCATCAAATTGAATAACGATATTCATACCTAACACGTATTTTGGTTTACACTACTGTGGGTGGGGTTGTGACTGAAATAATAGGATGAGAGAAAAACAATCATCCCCTACCTTGAGGGTGTGACAGAGAAATCTCCAACCCTCGGGGTTGGGGAGGTTTCTATAAGTCTACATTTTTTTTTTTTATTTCACCATCACATGGACTTTTAATGGGTTTTTTTCTGATTTATATATGCATATATATCGTAGATAATAAATAAACAAGTCCTTGCGAACGAAAATTTAGAATAAATCATAAATCTGTCAGATCTTCCGCTTGGCCTTTCTGCATTCTAGGGCTTCTTCAGGCGGATTGGTTTATATATATTTATAGATAAAACAAAACACGAATAGTAGTATAATCGGCTAGCGCTTTCGGCCAACCTGGGGCTCTTCATGCGATTTGAATTTATTTGAGACGTCATAAATAGAGTACACAGACTTAAGACGTCAACAATAATGACGTCATAAACCAAGTACATATAATGCGGACGTCTAGCTTCAATGCTATCGTGTGTTGTTGTAGCTCTGGACAGTAGAAACGTCAGATTATGCTGAGATTATCGCTTTTCCGGTGTTGGCACCATCGAACAGTCCGACAAAAGCCTTAGGCATATTTTCAAACCCATCATATATTGTCTCTTTGTACTTGATTTTTCCCTGCAGAGAAAAAAAATAAATTATTTTGTGTCAATACTGATTCGATTTTTTCTGCGAACAAACTGAAGTAACAGAAAGTAAGGTTCTATGGTTATGCAAAATGACTGTCACTCTCCAAGCAGGAAACATGTACTTTAATGTTAGATAACGTTCATTTTGAATGTTTCTCTCCCTGTAAAATTAATGTTATTTATCATTGGTTTAAAACTTCTTAATCCAGAGGCTTTCTCTTTCTTTCAAGATAATACGCTATCAAACGTCTGGCAGATATCAGGTCATCAGGGGGGTTGTCCCTCCTCTATCAGACAACATACTATCAAACGTCTGGCAGATATCAGGTCATCAGGGGGGTTGTCTCTCCTCTATCAGACAACATACTATCAAACATCTGGCAGATATCAGGTCATCAGGGGGATTGTCTCTCCTCTTTCAGACATCAAACGTTAGTGAGATATTAGTTAATAACGAATACAACCCGACAGCCTGTTATTAGATTCTGTTTCAACATTAATTAGAGGAAGACTGTTTCTTCCTTCAGGCACTTCGTTATTTCAGGTTAATTAGATTTTAGTTTAATTACTTAACTCATCTCCATCAGAGTAAATGTTTTCATACATTAACTGGATATAGTTGAATAAATGCACAACACACCAAAATTAGCGTACGCACACCGTCCGCACATACATGCGATTTAACATTTATATCACCTGCTGTTCGTTCCTCTCCTTACAATTGCGGTGCACAAAGTTCATCAATATTACGATATGAAATCCGGTTTATTGTGTATATTTAATATCTGATTACTAAAATTAAAATTATGTCCAATTTTACAATGTGTTATACAGTATTAGAGTGACCGTTAAACGGTCACGAAGTGGGCCTGGCTCCCAGGTTACAGAAGGGATAGTTAACATTGGGATGAGTGACATGGATTCGCTGGGCCCGTGCTCGACACAAAAACTAAAACCTGACGTTAAGTATTTGTTAATTCCATATTCATCAGTCTTAAACTCTTTTCACGTGGAATTTCACACCTGGTCGTATTACGTAGTGCCCCGGGGTAAGGTAAGCTATCATCGTCCAAATTTCTATCGTTCGTACATAGTGCGCACATCGTGAATACACTGCTAATCGTGTAACGTTGTGAGATTCCACAACTGAATAGTGATAAGAATGAGGTGTGTCTCTCATCCATCAGACATCAACTATTACACTCACCTCTCTGATCCACTGTGCCATTGCCTTTTCTCCCTCAGCCCATCTTTGATACCACCGCATCACGACGAATCCCTCAATCTTAAGCTGTTTGCCAAGGATATACATGAAAGGGTATTCACCTAGAAAGCGCCATATACAAATAAAGTATTTTTAAATATATGTTTATAGTTGAAACCGGATAAGATGACTTTGCATATTGATTTGGTATTACATGACATCCATGTTTAAACATATAAAACAGAACTAAGGCCGATGCTAACAATGTTACAGTTACAATTCAGCAGAAGAGTTTCTCTTCAGGGCTATTTTCTTTAAGATTGCAAAAAACAACCCATTAATATATAACCTATACCTGTTGGAGGCGCCTTGTCGTTGTACGAGGATATCTGTCCACAGATGGAAACTCGGCCGAACTGCTTCATGTGTTTCAGTGCTGTAGCTGTGAAGTCTGCTCCTATCTACAACACAATTAAAACAAGGAAATAATTATCATAAGAACCTTCTCTTCTGTAACAGTGAAATCTGAACACAAGAGTGTACATGGCGATAATATGTCATTTACGCGCACAAACAATAAATTGATGCGAACTCTTTAAGGCAACCTTTTTTTTCTTAAAGTTATCTAAAGTAAACAAAAATCGATAATTTATTAAGGTCCGACAACAGTCGTCCTTGCCCTCAGCGTTGAACCGGATATTTAAACAATGTGATATTTGAACATATGTACGTTCAGATAAAACACAATCAATTTAACGTTTTCCTCACAATGAAACTCGAACGTTTACATTATAAATCATCGGTTACTCACATTGTCGAAGAAACAATCAAACCCATCTGGGGCGGCCGCTTCCAAAGCTTCGGATAAATCAACCTTCTTGTAATTGAAGACCTCATCAAAACCTAACTCCTTCAGCCATTTGCATTTGTCGTCAGTTCCTGCACATCCCACTACTTTGCAACCCTGTTAACAAAAAGCTCATTTCAGATAATAAATTTGATATAATACAGTAAGAGCGCATCACCTTGCACTCCAGTTAAAAACATATTAGTATTTCAGACAACTGCGTTGTATTTGCCACCTTGTACCAGAGCTACACTTTCCTGCTGGTAGCAGGCACTAAAATATCTATGTTATTATTCTAATCATACTGTTGAAATTACTCAAAATAGATGTTGCAAACATTACTGACATTACAAATGTCATGACTTATCATGTATATTAGCTACCTGATGCATAGTCAAGAGGTGAAGGAATCAAAACCCCCTTGGCAAAGTTTTTTGTGTAGTGGGAAACTATCATAAATATATCACTTTCGTATCTGCCTTTGTCGCTGTGGTAATGGAGGCAGCGACCACAAATCAGAAAATAAATGTCGAATACAATTAAACTCTATTTTGATGAAGATATAAAATGTTACACTAGGACTCTCTACCTTTAACAAAATACGTTTTAGTTGTACCATTTTAACCTTGCATCCCTGATAAACAGGCTGTATTTCAAACACTTTTGCCACCTTAACCAAACTTCATGCACCTAATATATTCGCCATATTGCACTCCTGTTTCAAAAATACATTTCAGACGGTGTAGAAACATCCTATTATCGCATTTCCCTGTTAAACAATCTCGCTACCTTACGCCTCTGTTAAACACTTCACGCCACAGAAAACGAAGAAATAACACGCAACCTTGCACATTTGTTAAATAAGAAACCAAGTACAGATAAGCAGGAAGCATATTTATCTTTGTTCGGTTATAACCCTAGTTTAAGTTGAAAAATGTATGTTGGAAAAAGAATAACCTGCCTTTATTTTGGCGATTTGTCCAACAAGACTACCGACTGCCCCGGCAGCACCATTGACAAGTATTACGTCTCCTTCTTTTGGCTGACAAATCTCCAGAAAACCAAAATAAGCCGCCATTCTGCAAAAAAAGAAATATCCTGTTGAATTTCGTTTTCGAATCATACATCATGTATAACTGTTATCATGTGTGTCCTGATGTCTAAAATCGAAATTACATAAATATTTTGGAAATGAAAAAGATGAGAAGAAAAGCTGAAAAGGACTGTATCAGTCAGTGGACAATAAGCATGACATAAAACAAGAAATAAAACAATGTATTCCCATTGAGTCTATGAGTCTTCCTTGATATAATATTTGAATAATAAGTAAGCATATTTGTTATTTAATGTTCCTCTGTGGATAAAACAACTGCTCTAAAAAAGGTTTTTAAGTATATATTCACCAAAAACAGAAAGGTAAATACCACTTCCAGCTGAGATAAAATTTATCATATTGTTTTGCAATTGTAAAATAACACGTTGTATCAATTTATTAATTTCAATGTTATTTTATTATTTTGTCATAAATGACGCGTACGATCATCGTTTGAGCCGGAAAAGCGTTACAGCTTCGTTGCATTAAACTTGTAAACCGTCAGCTAATGTGTACAGGGGCGTTGGCCTATTCACCGTACAACGCCTAGGCCAGCCCCTTCAGGTTAGACGGCTGAATTTGACGTTTTCGAAAACTTTGCTCAAGAATATGCATGGCACGAGAACATTTAAGCCTTGTACGTTTGCGACCAAAATCACCAGCCAACAGCCGACCATTAAAACGATCCAATAAAGCGTTCATGCTGACGTCTTCAGACTGCATACTTCCCTCAGCGTGCTAACAGCCCTTTCCCTCCGAATATGAGGGCAGACAGGGAATAATGTAATGCGTATTGGTTATAGATTTCAGTATCACGGGTAAGAGAAGAATTGATCTCTTGGGTCACCATAGAGACTGCAAACTTATATTTTTATCAATAGCTAAGGTGTCATTTGTTAGGTATTCTACTCCCTTAACTCCGGTATAGGAGTAGCCTGGAGGAGGTGGTTTTAGCCTGTCTATTTTGCTACGGTGTAAGTATATAACGCAACATGACTATTTGTGAGTACAATTACGTAGTTACCCTGGCATTCCCATAACACCGAGGGTCAGGGATAAAGGGAGATCACCAAGTTCCGGCATGCGTCCTACTCGCTGTGCCACATCGGTTGAAATAATTGTGTGTGTACGCCATCCTGCATACACCCGAACGAAGCTTCCAACCGGATGAGTGGATGTTTTACTGGCGAACACCCTGAAAATAACCACCATGGGTACGGCACAGAATTTGTTTTGATTTGCATGTGTAGGTTAAAATAGGTAATTATTGATGGTCCTCATGAATATATAAATTACATATCAACTGCATATATATTACTCAAATACCCATAAAACAATTTAATTAATACGCAGTGCGGACATTAAAAAATATCCGTACATAACGTATTATAAAAGATTTTTAATCACACAAACAAATGAAGGGTAGGTCCAGCATTTTAGATATGATATAGTAATGCAAAATAGGATAAGCATTAACTACGACAATGCAGAATAAGCTTAGAATAATATATATATATATATATGCAGAATGGGGTAAAATTAGGTTAAACAATTCGGAATTAACTAAACACGAAATTAATTAGTTGTAATCGCTGATCTATCAGTACTTGAATACAATCCACAAACAATAACACATCCTGCCTATCATACTTAGCAATCTTCTAAATTCATCATGAAAGATGAAAAACAACATTTATTTTGACAATATAATGGCAGTTAATGTAATGAAGGTGTTAACCGTTTCTTCAGTAAAAGGACTACCGGCGCTGGCTTCATTACGAATCGTCTGCCTGAAGAACATGTGAAAAGTTTGGGAACTTACTTGGCGATCTGTTCCCCCGCCATGCATTGTCCCGGATCAACTCGACCCATTTCACTTGTCCTGTAAAAAGGATGATTGAGTGGATTATTACGAAACATGTGTTTAATTGAGATGTTTTCTTGCATTTTTTAATCGCGTAACGTGGTTATATATCAACAGCAATATGCTTCAAATATTACAGGATTTATCTATATACAGCGTGTTTTTCTTCCTTAATTAAATTTTAAAGGAAATCAGGAATGCATTGCTTAATAAAGGGGAAACTCCCAGAATATAGATTCTTCTATAGCTGAAAGGAAATCTTAGGTTTCGAAATTTCATTTTAAGAGAAGAAACGGTGATTAAATTTATGAACATATTAAATTAGCTCCTTGTTAATAACAGCATATTTTCCGTAGTTCTTTGGAGAATTATCTTGTCAAGGTACACATTTCACATTGTTAATGTCTATAAATAACAATTGTATAAAGTTATAACAAATTGATAACAATGAGGAACTTTTTTTGCGGTTTCTTCAAATTGTGGACATGCATGTACGTCATATTACATTAGATATACCTCATGTACGGATCAACAGTCCAGTGAAGCGCTTCGATCAGATATTCTGTAGAAAAAAAGGACCAACGTTATCGTTACATACGTAGAGTCCTAAAATAATTCTATGGCAACGAAATGTGATATAAAAGTCGAGGTTATTGGTTATGTTCATTCATATATTTGTGTTTTGTTGTAGCTACCCCGGTTCTCACTTTGAGGAAATGACATTACTTGGATTTGACCTTTAATTACATAGTGTGTAGAAGACGCCTGACACTCTGGACCAATCGGTCCTATTTGCCTTGTACTTTTTTTTTTATACATCTACAGATGGATCTTTCCGTTGCTCTAACTTTGCCAATATCTCATTGTTTAATCTACCGACAAAAAAAAAGGGGATGCAGCAAGAAAGAAGTTGAGGACCAACTGAGACTGTAGGAAGCAATGAATAATAAGCTTTTGAATCATAGAGGAATGAAAAATCAACAGTCAGAACATGCGTCACTGGTATTAACATTCTTTCACCTACTATTTTTCGATTCCTGAAGTATTTAATGCTAACGTTAGAGTCTACGGTGTACAATGTTGAGGTGTGTAATGTTTGTCATCGTATAGGAAAGGCCAGACTTTATGTGGCACCTATGTGCACTATAAGACTGAATTCTCTATCCTTTTGAAACTATGATTTATAAAAAAAAGAATACCAGAGTGTCAGAAAACTCAGAATCGATAGAACCAGGGCAAAACATAAACAAAGGAACAAATTACATGGAGACCCCTGATCAAAACCCAAGAGAAAATAATATCAGGTGCTTGTGAAGGCTAAGCATATGATGCGAAATCTCGTCACTATATAACACATATCTTATAAAGATGTTAACAAAATGGCAAAAGCCGAGTCTCCCCATCCGGAATCTCTCGATGATCTAGTACTAGAAAATGCGGTAGCTATAGGCTTATTTGCAATGCGTGGTTCTGTCTCCATAATGTCGGAGCCCACATCAAGGGTGCGTGGAATGACAGTCTTTGAAAGACCATTCTTGATATTCAGGGGTTACGCTCACTTTCGCTCTCTGCGCATCCGGGATATGTAATAGCAAAATTCGAAGGCTCACTGTGCACCGCAACGAGTATTTGATGTACATCAAAAGAATCTCGCGGTCGCGTAACAGTAAAACGTATTGGCTTTGAAATAGGGCGTCGTTCCACTGTTCATTTAAAAGAAGAAGTATCAGATTAGCGATTGGTCAGGTATTTATTTTACCTGACACCAATCAAATAGATAGCCGCATGCCTTCCGTTTGATATGACATATTCCAGGGGTGCTTCAAAGAGCGAAAGTAACCCCAGGATATCGTGGATGCTGAAAAACGTGCACCGAATGATTCTCGGGGCAGAAATAAGTTTCTCATTTTCAATGCCACGATATTTCGTTCATTAAAAGATATTTCATATAGTAATTATATATAAGATATCTCATATGGTATATAAGATATCTTGTATATTATGTTATATCATATACGATATCTTATAAACATCATGATATTCTCATGAAAAACCTTATTTGTTATGCTATATATACATGAATTCCCTGAAGAAGTAAGAACTCTTAGTTGTTTTGTTTCGAGTGTGTTTTGTATGCAAGCCCTTATAATGTTTTTGTACAATTCAGAATATTATCATCAAATTATCAATCAAAAGTGGAAGGGATTTCCAGAACTTTAAATATGTCATAACATTTTTTTCCTATTGGACTTTACACCGATCAGTTGTCGGCAGTGCTGTAAGTAATCGGGTTGATCCAGCAAAATTCTTTACTTAAAATTTGGAGTTTTCGTTAATTTGGTTGGTTTCATTTGTCGTAAAACTGTCAAAACCCATTGTATTGAATTGTCCATCAATATTTAAAGACCTTACGATAAAGAGACGTCAACCTGTAATAATCGATCGATGGTAAACTAGAATTAGTCCTCGGTTAGGCGTGAGGCTTTCACGTTGTGTGTTTAGCAGAACCTTTTTATCAACCAGAACAACAGTTAAGTGTTATTTATTTTTCACCTTTGGTTATTCATCTTATTGACACCCACCCCCATCACCACCACCACAACTACCACTACCACTACCACCACCACCACCACCACCACCACTACCACAACCACAACCACCACAACTACCACCACCACCACCACCACTACCACTACCACTACCACTACC